TTTCCCGACCTCCCGGCCAGCAACCAGATACACACACACACACATGGGTGTACGAGGGGCAATTTCTTGAAATTGACCGTAGCGTGCTGCGGCTCCTACTTACCCGTACCATCTCAGGTAACTAGCACCCCCGAGCAATATCGCCTTCGGCTACCCCCTGAGGCTCCGCCGCTGATAAGGAATATCATCTACCTCCACGCATCCTATACACCACGGAAGACGAGCGCCCGTGTATGCGCGCGTGTGTACGCGTATAACACGTGAGAGTACAGTCAGGTATATAGGTGTGCGTCTATAGACCAGTGTATACGGCGTGATAAATTACTCAGCGACGCGCTCGCTTTGTCGGGCCTCGGGGCTGCGCGAGAGGCTTTCTCGCTCTGGTGCGCGTGTAACAGCACAAGTGCAACCCTTTGGCAGTATGAAGCTGCATTCTTGCTATGGAAAAAAAAAAAAAAAAAAAAAAGAAGATGTAGTAATAGGGATAGGTTTGAGCGGTGAGGGGCAAGGGTTGAGATTGAAATTGATGCCGGCTGCTTCTACGTGGAGTATCGAGGATACGAGGCCGAATGTGCGTGTAGAGGGAGTAATTTAATATCTGGAAAGGAGAGAGATAGAGAGGGAGGAGGAACTGAGCGTGTTATCCGGATGATAATTAATTCGTTGATGTGATTGATTAATGGCTCACGGAGAACCGATGCTTGCGTGCGCCGGATATTAAACGCTTGTTTTGCTGTGGGATGGAAATTCGCGTCCGAGTTTGCTTTTTTTTCTTATAACCACGCGAACTAGATGCATAGGAATGAATAATGTGGTTGGCAAACTTTGACTATCGTTTATTTTTTTCGAGACGATTTGCCAAAACTTTTATTGGTGATAAATATATGGGTACAACCATCAATTTTTGGTGTATGGTTTTTTTTTTCCCGTTCGCATACTTCGAACGATAAATTAAACTCAACGAGCAAAACAATGAATAATCGATTAACCGGAGAGGCTTTAACGCGCACAAAAGTGCGTATAATAAAGCATCAAGATGATCGGGGGGGTCCCCGTGCCCGGGACACCGTACGCCAGGAAATTTATGGTGCACAAATAACTCGGGCAATTATATTCCATTTGAGCCGTCAATTTCAGGAATGCCGATAAAGAATGACGACCAAGAGCCGGTACGCGTACATACATAGGTAACTTGAAAAGCTTATCGCTCGATAAATTCTACTTCCAAGGAACGAGGTACCTATCCCGCTATCCTCGGTCTTATCGCTCCTCCTCCTTCGTCCTTTCGTAGGATAGGTATTACTCCTTACTTTTTGTCCCGCTCGACGCGCCATAGACCTCTGGTAATTATTACCCACCGCGTTCCAGCTGAATTTTCTCCTGACCGGAATTGACGATCGGATCAACAAATTGCAATTCACTGAAACTTGTATCCTCTTGGATCATCGAGACTTGTGCAACGTTAGATACATTTTAAACTCGAAAAATAATACTCCTGAACTACCGCGAGGGAAAAATATTCCAAGGACCTCCTTGGTCCAGAGCTTTCCTCCCTCCCTTGACCCCAAATAAAATGGACGAGGCAAAAAAAGTGCACTGGGAGTCAGCGTAGAGTGGGTATAGTTATGGAAACGAGAAATAAGACATCAGTCGATGATGATTTCTTGTTCCCGTTATTATTGCGGTGGGCAAAGATTTTCCAGAAGAAGAAGATTATAGTTATAAGGGGCAATGATATAGATAATTCACGTTGCAATTTAAATATAAATGCAGATAAGTACTTTCTTTTCCACTGAAGCTACAGTATAGAGTCTCCGTTCCCGATCCTCCCTATACACGACCGCTGGTACGCACACGAGCACGCATGCACACGCACACTGGCCATAGATCAAGCAAGCAAGAGACCTTTAGCCCAAGACCAACCCCCCATGCCACACACGGGCTAACCATTAATTTACAACCCGCAGAGTCACCACCACCACCACCACCAAGAAGGACGGGGAAGAGGAACAAGGGTGCCAGTGGGTATTCCGTGCCGCGCGCAGGATTCTCGGCGCGTCCGCATCCCTTTGCGGTGCCGAGATATGAGCTACGAGGAGGAGAACTGCTGCGTAGTAAAAGCGGGGAGAGGTAGGACCAACACGTGTCACTTACACGCGAGCGTTCGTGTGTGCTTGCGTTGGCTGGCTTGCATTTTCTTGATTCATCCATCGCGCTGAGCAACCCCCTCCTTTCACCCCTGACCACCGTTCATCTTTTATCCATACGCACGTATCTTAGCACAACCCTGTGTGTAGGTATACTGCTTTCACGGTGCAGAGCTTAGTTTCACGGGACGCGGTCGTTTTGGTCCTGCGCGATGAAAGGCTTGTATCGGCCAAGGGAGGATGAGAAAAACGTGGAGGAGGAAAACTTGATGGGGGTGGAATGCCTTTGAGCTAAGGAGGGTTTTGCATCGCGTTTATTCGTTACAGCGGGAGAGGTAATTGAGCTGGAAATTACGTTTTTGTGCGCAGAGTTGTAGGTTACCTTTTTTTTTGACAGTTCTAGTAATATTGTTTTTCTCGGTGCCATGTAGAGTCTTGGTCGGGTCCAAGTGGTTTTCAAATACGCTAGTGCAATATCACACATACAGCGTTTGAATGACAGGGGATTGGGTACAATGGCACTATACCTTCAAAAAAAGCTCGAGGAGTCTAGGCTTTACTTTAATCTCCTCCTCATTACCCATGGTACATTTCTTCAATTTTTGTTAAAGTTGTTAAAGGTGGTAAAAAAAAAAAAAAAAAAAAAAAACAGGTATTAAAGCTCTTCAATGCTCGCTCTCGTTGAAAACTACTAAAGCTATGAAACGTACTCAGAGGGTATAGCTTTCAAAGTGTAAATCTGTAATAAGCGACAGGGTGATTAAGTGCAATCAAACCAGCACATAAAGGAACGGTTTGTCCGTAATGGTTGATATACATAAAGCGAATAAGAGGTTTCAGTGAGTGTATGTAAATTGGCGGAACCTAGCCGGAGATGCATTTGCGCGCTGCCGTAGTAAGTAGTTCCCTAATGAGATTTACGAAGCTTATTGGGCGAGGAACGCGAGATGGTAATACATTCTCGATTTCAATGGCCGTGCTTTTTCGCACGCTCAAGGGTAATTTGAATTTCAAATCCGAACACCATGAGGTAGATATTTTTGAGAAAAAAAAAAAAAAAGATTTGAAATTCGCGTAGCTGTAAATCCGCGCGATAAATCCGTATTACAATATGTTTGATGGTATGGAACTGATTTAAGTACTCAAGGATAGAAAGAGAAGCAGAGCTCGTAATTGTCGAAGGAATCCGAGGAACGGAAGGAAAAGAGGATAACACAGATACACTTAGGTGTAGGGACTTTGAAGCTACGCTGCTTTCATTTTCGCTTAATAAGCGTAGACGCGAGGGATGGGGCCACCAGTGCGGCTTCATAACTCCGAGGGACGGAAGCAAGTTGTCTTACGTCTCGCTCTATTCTCGTCTGACAACTTTCGACTGCCCCCCCTTGGATATAGTTAAGACGCTCGTCAGACTTGGAGTCAAGGACGAGGATGGGGCCGGAGAAATCCCGTAACTTGACATGGGTACTTTTGATTTTCCACGAACCCTTGATCTGGTGAGTTTTCAGAGCTTTTGTAACAGGTGTTCCATGAGACGAACTCTTGTCTTGTTTTTAATGCCAGATAAGTATTTTTTCTCATGATATGTATTGTGTAAATATCTACTTGAAAGTATTTAAATATTTGTGCTGGAAATACGTTATTAAAAATAAACCGAAAAAATTTCTTGGTGCGTCAATCATCGCTAGTCACGTGGTTGTATCAAACGTCACTCGGAGCGAGTAGGAGGAAACAACTCGTGGAATACACGGAAATAAAAATAAAAAAAATAAAAAAATCACACGAAATGTTGTTACAAATAGTACACGTACAAGTGTCCGTGGAACCACCAACTTCTGTGTCTCCACTCTGTGGTACACGTGTTTTAAAATAGCTTTTCTTTCACTCAGTCCGAATTTGTGGTCATTCGATCGCTTGTCGTGCCGCAAGCCTAGCCGTTTTAGCTGAAAAATGTCAAACTGCGGAGCAGAGGGAGAACGAGATGAATAATGGAGCGGACCTTGATCCGGGCGAAATTATTTTGCTGAAATTTTAAAATTGAACCGGGCGGTCACGTGCATAAATAAAAGGGCAGCTTCGCGCGTTCGCGTTCGTACTTCAATTAAAATGTTCAATTAAACAAAAACGGGGCACGTGGACGAAAAAAAAAAAAAAAAAAAACTAGCTGAGCCGGTGCACTGTTTCAATCAAATGGTCATTTAAATTCAGGGGGTAAATGAAAAGCAGCGCATCAGCGCGTGGGAAAAAAAAAGTATTTCGGAAAAGTGGAATCGCTGACTTTGTACCTTTTTTTTCAATTGAAGTGCATAAATCACTCGACAACGACCGGGTATCACGTTAATTCGGATTTAAATTCTTGATAAAGCGACAGTTTGCATCAACACTAATGGTAGGATATTAAAATTTAACGATACAAATCCTGTTTAAATTCAGGGACCTTGATGATAAAAAAATTTTGGTCGAGAAAAATTGGGGTGGTTGTACTTTAACCGTCACCGTTAGAGTGACCCTAGATGAACGTGTCATTGTGATAAAATGAGGACTCTATCGATAATTGCATCATCCATAGATAATCGAAGGCACTAAAAATCCTCACAATCGGAAGATTTTCCTGTTGGAATAGACATCGGTGTGGTTCTCGCAGATTATGGTCATTGTCTTTCGCTAATAAGACGGCATGAATTAATCGTAACGAGTCGCTAGTACAAACAACTACGGTACGAGAGCAAAGTATACCGGCAACGACGTCCCGGAGCCAGAGATCCTTTTTCAAGCAAACGAGCTCCAGAGCTCCGGGCCGCTCGGCTCGTAATTGCACTCGTTAAGGAGCCACGATAGTCAAGGGACACTCACCTTGATCGTCGCGTGGTGGGGTCTTTCATGACCATGACCTCTGTGATGTCGCCGAACTTGGTGAAGTACTCCCTCAGGCTCTCTGCAACAGAGACAGAACACGTGGCTCTTCGTTACATTGATCTTTACATATGGAAATTATTTAAAAATCATGCATTTCGTGAATACAAATGGTACCATCTCGTATTGAATATATTATTATATTGGATTGGAACATTCGTTTGTAAATTTTGGTAAAAAGAATATAGGTATCGGGGATCCAGGAAGATTAACTTTTATTACCCGTGACATCTTGCAGAATGAAAAATCGCGGAATCGAGTGCAGCTATAAAAATACACAAACGCAGGAGGGTGGAAACGGTTTTGCTTTTTTTCCTTCTCGAGCTGTTTGTCGTTACTCGCGAGAATTGACCGTTAAAAGTACGGTACGAGTGGTCGAAATTTATGGACGAATCAAACCCTCGGATGAGTCGTTAAATTGCCCTGGCCTATTAATTGTTTCCATTTGCAGTCGTTCTCTTTCACCCCCTCGTGATATCTATAGGCTTCATTATGATGGGTACGGGCGTACACGTATTTGAACTGAATTGTCGATATTTTTCCAGTGCACTGTGAGATCTTTGACGATTGTTCTTAGAAAATAATTTTATTTTCAACTTTGCGTAATATATATAATAAAAAAAATTACGAGGTGTATCAATATTACAATTGTACTTTTTTACTCTAGTTAAAATTATCGTGGCCACGTCTTAAACTCGATTAAATTCGGAGTGTAGTTTCTTTTGAATTTAATCACTTCCTCTCGATTGCTTACCTAACCACGAATTTTCTTCATTAACTATTAACGAAATCGTCAGTGTCACGTCATAGACCTATATAAAGTCAAATTGCACAAAAATAGGAGTTAGCACCGCTGCACTCTACATTATAGGTCACATTTGAAGGGTAAATTACGCTACTTTTTCAGACGTACAAGTATCTCACGAAAATAGGACCTTGCACTGTATCGAATTCCATGCAAAATTCATTAATATGAAATTCAAGTTGAAACGCACACAATGGTAAAGCAACAATAAAGTATTTAATTCTCCAATTTGCCCACCAAGAGTCAGGAAAATTCACCAAAAGCACGAATTTAATTATCCAGATATCAAATTCAAACTGTGCCACCACCCCAGCTGATGGGGAGCACCTCATTTTTCCCGCTCTCAATTCTAAAGCACGCGCCCCCCCCCCCCGACTGCACATCGAAAGCTTCCCTCCCACCCACACCCGGCGTCCACTCGCGGTCTATGCATACTCGCCTCCTCCAATTACCAAAACTTTCGTAATTGCAGCCAGCTCCTCCGAGTCGGTCTGAGCTCTGTTTAAGACTGAATTTAAACTTTGATTTTTCGCCAGCTGCAGTGTATATAGTGGGCGAGTATACCCTGCAAAGATAATTGGACTCATCTGTATCACGTACCTCATATATACACACACATACACAGTAGGGCACGCGCTCTTTCTCGTTTTCTCGTTTTCTCGACTTTGCACGAGCCCGCTCCCTCGATCACGCGATAACCAACCGAAAAAGCCTTTATTGAATAATTTTCGAAAATTCCATTAAAACTTAAACGTTGGAGCGTGACGCTTTCGATGACTTGAGTTTTTTAATTCTCGAGCCTCACCCCACACTCGCTCGATACTAAAATAAACTGAAAACTGTGATGCAGTACGTGTACACCATTGGGGACGTTTCTAGCGTTTTACATAATGCAACATCCCCCCGGTGGACGCAAAATCGAGTAAAATACCCCCGCACAGTCGTCCAGTGCTGAAAACAAACCGCGTCAAAGTCGTTAATTTGAAACGAAAACGGCGTGTTTTCGGGTGCTGAAAATTTACAGGCTTATAAGCGTTAATAAATTTCAAAACAGAGCAGCGTCGCCATCGCCCCTACCGTACAGGCACCATGTATATATTCCACAGCGTGCTTTTACAAGCAGACCGGCAAAAACGACAAAAGCTTATCGCGCGAGCACTCTTATTCGCAGATTTCGCCGGCCGGGGCGATAATTCAGCGGCCGAGAGTCCACGAACCCGTGCGCTGGCTAAAGTATGCATATATATGTATACGTATATATGTGCTTGCACTGACAAGGCTCATTTATACGAACGTGTACTTTAAAGCTGCGCGTGCGCGTATAACGTTTAGCGAGTACGCCGAGAGCACTGTAACAGATGCGCATTGTCTTTTGTCCCCGTACCTCGCGTATATATACTTATATTTTACGTGAGCGTAAGCCCATGGACTGTGTGTGGATGTACGCGCGGGGTACACGAAGAGTGAGACAGACGGACGGTGCAACGCTATCTCTCGACTCGGTTCGTGTATGGGTGTGTACAAGTATATGGTGGACGGGGTGCCGGCTGGCAAGTGGCCAACGTGGCCGAGATCCAAATATGTCTTACACCCCGTCTAATTATACGCTGTTTTATCCAGCGACCTTTCCTAAGGGCTTCCTCTCTCTCTCTTGTAGCCCCACGCGAGTACTTACTTTTGCCCCTTCCCACTCTTGCTTTGGTCTCCATATCTCCCTCTCTCTCTTCCCATGGCTTCGATAAACCGGGCACACATCCCCTTGCGGGCGCAAAAAAAACGGACCAATTCCCTTCCAAATTACTGTCTCGCGGCCAAATCGCTCCCTGCCTACTTTATTCTTCTCTCGTACCTAATGGTTACCTTTACACTTGTCGTGCACGGTGACTTAATTTCGTACGGGCATCGTTTCCTTACAAACACTTGGCAGAACTTTTTCACCGTAATGTAACAGTAAATCTAATACTTTTATCACAACTGTTGTGATTAAAAGTATTGTTATTAAAATACGAGCTAGCACAAGTTTCTTTTTCTTTTTTAATTAACGCAATTTCAAAAGTGGCGAGCTGCTAACCGCACAAGAGAATTTTTAATAAGCGTCAAAGCGAAACCACGAGTCATGATGAACGGGCAGTGAAACGAAAAGAGGCTCGTTGTCTCGTAGTAAAATTGTCAAAGGAATATTCAATACTTTTCACCATCGGATATTGTAATTAAAAGCATTAGTCGGCCGATCGGAGAAGCCGGGAGCGTTGATTAGCGCTTACATGAAATGGTACTCACGAATTAATGGAATATCAGATCGATGGCTATCTAATCCGCACTTGGGCGAACACTTGCGATGGTTCAATTGATGCTCCGGCTGTTTCAACGACACCCGGCCCTTTTGACTCTGTTCGTGCATTTGCGATTGCATTAGTAATAAAAGCTTTGTTTTGCCATGTATCAAAATGTCCGCGAGTGGTGGTGCGAGTGAAATTCAATTAGCTCACGTATAAACCTCGTGAGCAATTAGGAATACAATTTCCACTGGAACTTTTTGATTGTCGAAGCGTGAAGTATCAAGGTAATTTATTCGACCAAATGTTTGCGGTTGGTTTTCCTGGCGGCACTCGAAACGTTTGATTTGCAACGCGTAACAGTAATTACAAGCTTTTTCGATTGGGTTAACCACGAGTCAATTAAAATCGCGATTTATGTTCCATATGGGCTGCAGTATGATTCACTGTTGCGTGTACCAATGATGAAAATGGTATTTTTATTTTAGTATATAATGACGTATAAAAGGTATTGTTATGTATATACTTGCTTGTACACGAAGCAAAGTTGGGACTGCAGAAGAGGCAAATGATCCTGAAATCACCACCGATGGTTCTTTAATTTGTTTTGCATCAGATTGATGGAAGCAATTTCGTCGTTTCTCGGGTTCTTTTAAAACGTCCTATGCCAGAATTTACGAGTGTCATTTCCTTGATTGTACTTTGTCCGACGGAGGAAAGAAGCACTTGCGCGGTCCCGAAAGTGTTTTACATACCGAAGAAATAAATTAAACCGAGAGCTCCGGTCTTACGGTTAAAAGGTACAATTGTTTCATACGTTAAGTGGAATAACGCGGTTTATTTTATTACCGAACTCTATCACAATTTTTATGGCACTATCACGCAATGTATTTTTTTAATTTGGTGCAACGATTGTTAACAAAAACTTTAGTTTATCTCGTCATTTTTAGGTATTGGATTTTTAGAGTCTACTTGTCAATTGCAAACGCAAAGTATTTTTAACATACATGTATAGAGTTGTCTATTCGCATAAGTCAGATGGTACAGTAAAATGGATTGGACCTTCGGCAACACCTATGATAGGTATTAAATCTCAATCCTCATAAAGGATCGATATCTCGTAATGACGACAAAAAAAAACAAAGATAAAATTTAAGATTTTTCTCTTAAAACTCTTATTTTGTGATTGCGTATAAAAAAAATCCGAATAAACTAATTGCAATCATGTTAGGGAGAGTATGTAAATTAGAATCATCCCCAAGCATAAAGACGTACGCATTGCTCCGCGCAATGAAATATCACGCCACGCGACCCAAATAGCCACAAAGGATATAAGCACCGCAAGCCCAAACATTCCATTGAAAATTTCAAAGCAAGGACTATCGCCCTTCCGAATCTCCCTCTTACCTTTCCATCGCTACAGTATCGCGTTTCCTCTCCCTTTCGTAAACACACACCCTATATCGCACCGGCAGCTCTGTTATCCATACATTGCCCACACGCAAATAAATAAGCCTCGGCATGTGAGCAATTATTTTATTAGCAGCAGCAGCAGTGGCAGGACGACCACCGTGACACGCAATAGAGTCAGCCGAGCGCGATATAATCGCTGAATCGCGACCTCCCATCTACTCGTTGACTCTACTCGATTACCGCCTCTATAGCGTCCCGACGATTCTGGCACGAATCTCAAACTCGCGCGAATTTTCGCTCACACCCCTCCAACACGCGAATTCAATGTGTACACGTAACTTCCGCGTCCCCTGGCACAACACGTATGTGCAGCGAAGAGAAATAATAAAAGGAAGAGGAGGGAGGAGGTAGAGAGGGCCGAGGTAAGAGATGTCGGAGCGAGTCGCGCGCAAAAATTCGCAGCCACTGTCGCCCCTCCCTTTCCGTATACGGCAGAGCCGGTTCGTGCCAGCGCCTAAAGTATACGGAAGC